CTGATTGGAAATTGGAATGGTGTAAATTGATGCTATCAGTGTCCTCGATACACATACAAATTAAGAAAACCTCTTTACAATCTCTTTAACAAGAACCACAGACGTCTGATTGAAAATTGGAATGGTGTAAATTGATGCTATCAGTGTCCCTGATACACATAAAAAATTTAGAAAACCTCTTTACAATCTCTTTAAATTCTTAACAATTCCGAATCTATTGAGTTACACGCCACATTCTTCTCTGAACAATTCATGCTCATAACACCCTCCCTGTGTAGATAATAGCTGTATGAGCTATATACCACGTGTCTTTTACCATATGTTCCATCTATCTGCCACCTAGCTTACTTTCTAGTAGCTTATCATTGGGCCTGGGTGAATTGGAAGACCTTGTTGTCCACTTCCATCTCCTTGAAACACTATTTCACAGAAAATTTTATGATCAATTTGGTCGCAAATATGATATTTCTCAATTTACACTAACGACAAATTCAAATGAGATTTTTAGGGTTTCCGACCTGGGGTGTTTTCACTCCTTGAGGGTGAGGGATAGGGGTGTCAGGGGAGTGACCAACCCTTGTACAATAATTTATCTATATTCAGGACTTATGGGGAATGTTTTTCAATCGATGGACGCTGTCACAGCCACTACCATAGAGTCCATCAAGTCTGGTTTGGGAACATAGAGAGTTTTATGATTATCTCGAATAAACATTTATACATTTACAATGCTATGGGGGTGTGAGGATATTAAATGATTGCTCTGGGGTGTACGGGCTGAAAAAGATTGGGAACCACCGTAGTGCCTGAGTAGTTTGTTTAGAGATTTCAGTGATCACGATAATTTCTGGAGAAGAAAAGAGACAATAGCTGACTTCATCTACGCCTAAGAATTTCTTCTCAAAAAATAAAACTTTTTCTCATTTAGATCTTGTCTAATTTTAAGTATATTTGGTATTTAAGAAAATGAAAAAAGTATGAACTAAGTAACTATTTTTTATTAGTTTATTATTGAGCGATTTTAGTAAATATACAAATAATAATAATAATAATAATAATAATAATAATAATAATAATATACACTTTGTTTTCATTCAATCTAACCTTTATTGCTTTTAAAGCGACTGTGAAGAGATTTTCTAAACCTTTTATATGTATTGGTTCCAATTTTCAGCCAGACATCTGTGGTTCTTGTAATTCCACTTAAAACACATAATGTATCTTAGAAAATCTATTTACAGTCAGTTCTGTAAACTGATCATTGGAATACTACAATAAACACAAAATTAACATTTTCAAACTTGGTCAATAAGAGTATATATTAATCACTGAACATACCTTGTGTCTGTAACTATACGATACAGGGATTGTGTTGTATATTTATGACACCAGGCAAGTCCGACTGATGAATATATACCAGCTTGATTAGCAAGAATATTTTAGGGTAAAAACTGTGCATTATACACGCAAATATACTGTATCCGTATTGTCCTAGTTTGAAAGTTTAACGTTACGTACATTCTAAGAGGTAGTATCATTTAAAACCGGATACAATAAAAAATGAAACTTTATGATTTGGATGTTCCAGTAATCTGATTGGTCAATCACTAAAATCAATTTTAAATTTAGATTTAAAGATTTAGATCAAAATGAGCAGAAATAAACATTTATTATAGTAAAACTGAGATAAAGACAAACAAAATAATAAACAAATTCATTGTTAAAATATCAAATATCAAGATTATTTTTCCACTGAAATTTACCAACAATAACAATTTATTTGTTAAATCATAAAATATTCACAGAAAAACCTCCAGATTTTTTAATTATCTGGTATTTTTAAATTGAATTATAAACAAATAAAAATTGTTCAACAACTGAAGTTTAAGAGACAAACAAAACAATGAAAAATTCCTTCTTAAAATATACTTTATTTAATTATCTCCCTTTAATATGGATTTCATAGAATCCCTGAGTAGAATTCTAAATTAAAATAAAAATAGACATCAGATTTCATTACTGTTTATAATATATTATACTGGCAAGTTAGCACTGAGTTATTTAGAAAATACATGTACTAATAACAAAAATAAATGCTGAAAATATTTAAAATATATAATAAGAGATGTTGAGATTACAAACCTATATTAAATTAATATTATTAACTATGTGGACTCTCTGAAAGAGATGTTGAGTTGACAAACCTAAATACCATATAAACATTATTAACTATGTGGACTCTCTGAAAGAGATGTTGAGTTGACAAACCTAAATACCATATAAACATTATTAGCTATGTGGACTCTCTGAAAGAGATGTTGAGTTGACAAACCTAAATACCATATAAACATTATTAGCTATGTGGACTCTCTGAGATAAACTAACCAAAATATTAAATAAACATTTTTTTAGCAATGTGGACTCTCTGAAAGATGCCGAGTTGACTAAACTAAAAACCAAATAAAAATCATTAGCAATGTGGACTTTCATAATAGTGGTGCCCAGTTGACTAACTTCATTAACCAAGAGTTGTCAATTTAATAACTCAACTTAGACTGGTATGAAAGTTAAAATATTAAAATAATAAATGCAAATATTGATATAGAGATTCCCAGACAAATAAAATACAATAATAAAATATCAACTTTACATAACGGAATGCAAAGTTGAAATAAAATAATAAATCCATTAACCAAACTTAAAATTGAATTACAAAATTATTTAACAAAAATTTGCATATTTCCCAATCAAACTTCAATTTATTCAAAAAATAAAAACTAATTTGAATATCTACATTATATTATACAAAAATATATCATATACACAAATATATCATATACACAAATATATCATATACACAAATATATCATATACACAAATATATCATATACACAAGTAACAACACATCATATATACCTTGTTTGCCATGCACCAAAATTTCATCAGATTCCACCTCATTTGAATAATAATTTTATTATTTATTAACTAAAATGAAATGAATGAGTTAATTCTACCTTATATCAAACTTTGTTGTCATAACTACATTTACATCATCTTCCTCTATAATATATATATATATATATATTAATAAATCAACAAATTGCATAGTTAATTTCAAATTTTATAATTTCATAAATTTTCAAGTTATTTCCCTTTACTAACTGTCTGTGATATCAGCTAACTGTCTGTGATATCAGCTAACTGTCTGTGATATCAGCTATCAGCTAACTGTCTGTGATATCAGTCTGTGATATCAGCTAACTGTCTGTGATATCAGCTAACTGTCTGTGATATCAGCTAACTGTCTGTGATATCAGCTATCAGCTAACTGTCTGTGATATCAGCTATCAGCTAACTGTCTGTGATATCAGCTAACTGTCTGTGATATCAGTAAGAGATTATCACCTGGATTAAGAAACCTATATATTATCTACATGTTTATCAATTGATAAATAATTTTGATATCTTGACACCAGCCCTGCGTTTTATTAATACTAAATAAGTCTTGCCATTTTTACAACAGTTTTAGATGATTAATATTAATACAAGGTGAACCTGTTGAGATGAGGAATTCTAACAGTTTTAGAAGATCAGGTAGAATCAACATTAGAAACAGCCACTGATCTGGCAGATTCTCTCTTCTTATAGATCATTTCCTTTAACTGAGTCGTAGAAAACTGAAAAAAAAAAAATAAATTGTAATGATGAAATGACATTGACTTGATCTGAGGTCAAAGCTTGGACAATAAACCCCCATTTGATAAGGGTTGAATATCTGAAACATGTCAGCAGTATGAGATGAACTCTAGTTAATTAGGTAACATTAAGTCTTTAATTAAAAAGTTAAACATGTGTCAGTAGGTAGATGAACTCTAGTTAATAAGATAAGTTTATGGTAAACTTCAATAAAAAACTTACGTTATGTTTAACGAATGAGAGGTAGGTATTCCAGACCAATGTTACAGAGGCTACGTATAAAACACGATATTTCGGAGGAAAAAAATAAAAATTGACGAATTGAACTGGTGGCCAAAATACACAATCTCCCTAAAAATAAAAACAAACAAATTATTTTCAAAAATTAGGTCTTTATGGGAAATGGGAAACAACAGTTGTGAGAGTGCAGGGCTTGGGGATTTTAAAAGTTTATATAGAAACCATAATAATCCATTTAAGGCAAGAAATATTCTGAAACCATTCGAGAGTCTGTTTGATGTCAACTTTTAAACATTCAGTTGTGACCCTCATTTTCAAATTTCTCATCATATCACATGACAAAAACATCAATAATCACCTAATAATTCCAAGATATTGCCCGATGTCAACTTTCAATAATTCAATGAGGGAAAAATGAGACCATTTATTATTTACATAATTTTACATCAAGAAAGAATAGACTCTGAAGCCCCTTGACATTTATGTCTCCCCAACCCCCCTCACTTCAATTAATGACCCTGAGAATCATCCCCTCTCTTCTATCTACATAACTTACCAGGAATATAACAGGGAATTTCTCCTTCCATTCTTCCTGTGTTATAGCTGTAGATTTTCCTTCTAGAATACAACTACCTGTAATTAAGATTAAAATCATTAAATTTTATATATCTCTCATTACTATGACAGGTAAATAGTTTTATTCTTTCAAGATTTCTCACTCTCATAGAATTTCTTTGTTTACTTTGTTCATAGGCTCATGTTTACATTCATACTGTAAAGTTAAACCTACAGATTTACTGCAGAAAATTAATTCTTATTGTGCCCTTTTAGAAATGAATGTTTCAAAGAAAGCCAACCTCCTGTAACTAGGGTACAAATATAGGTCAGATTGACCTAATTAATGGGAACCCAGTGTCAAGGTTGAGATCCACAATGAAGCAGCTCTGATGAGTGAAAAATCTCTTTCAGCAATAGAGATGTGCAAACAATTTTCCAGGACTGGAGGGAGGGGTGGGGTAGCACTAGTAATAATTCCCCCCCTACTCCCCCCTACTAGTGCCCCAATACCTGTTACTCACTATATATAAACAAAGAGGTGAAAATTGGAGCAGCCACAAACTGATCCACCGCCATCTTCTTCATAACAACTTTTAAACTTTTACCAACAAAATGTTTATCAAGATATTTATAGAACAAATGATTGACAGGTCCGAATACTGTACCAATTAAACACATACGACCTAAAATATAATTAGATTATTCATTAATTAGGTTGAATTAAAGCCACTGTCCATGTCATGAAGTAGTAAAGTAATCTACCTACTTTTACTTTTTGATTTCCCCCCAAAATGTTCCCTCCTCATAATCAATATAATGCCTCCATGTTTTATCAAAGCATGAAGCATTTCTTTGTAAAATATTGGACACAATTCCGATCAATAGAAGATATTATATTAAAACAATTTTAACTCACCAGAGCGTTCCCAATCTATATTGGCCAAGAATGATGAAGTTTCTCTTGGTTTTCTCTTGGAAAAATCTCCATTTTCATGTTTATTCGACTTGGTTTTCTTGTTTCTCTTCTCAATAGATTGAACGATTAAATCTCCGATAGTTAATAAAGCTCCACAAGTAACAGTGTTAGTGACCAGTAAATGTTTACTGAATAGCTTCTTCACGAATGCTTTCACATTTGACATTGCAGAAAGATTTAAAAAGTGAAACTTTAACTTTTATTTGTAAACATTCTTCATCCACGTGTTCCTTGTCACGTGAGAGCTAAAAATAGTTTTCAGCATGAGTTCGTTTTGTTGTTCTTGACTCATGATCGTGTTTCTAGTTGTGCTCGATTTGTTGTTCCGACATTTGTTCCGAACTGGTATAATACGAACGAAATTTTACGCAATGTTATTGCATAATTTATTAACCTTCCTCTGTTAGACATTTGACTGTCTTTAGATTGTTTACAAAGGCTAAAGATGAAAATGAACAAACACGAAAACTTAGTAAAGAATTGAAAAGAAGTTGCTTCCCTTTATCTGGGCAGAAGACATGTACGGAATATTTGTTCACATGTATCACCTTCTAGAGCAACATCTTATTTATGTTCCTTATTTTTCATGGAACACAATGCCAAGCCAGCAGGAATATGTCAGAAAATGAAACCGGCGATATTTAAGTGTGTTTTGGGAAAACTGAGCCCTATCTATAGCCCTGGTGTGTTTTCATCCCCTGGAGGTGTGAGACTAGGGTGTCAGGGGTGTGGCCAACTGGTGTAGGAGAAGAATTTGTTTTGAATTGAGAGAGCACCTCACATCAACGCATGCTGAAAATGTGGATGAAACAAATTTTTGGGGGTGTGAAAGGTCCAGGTGATTACTCCGTGGGTGTGAAGGCTGAAATAGGTTGGGAACCACTGTTGTATAGATTCTAGATTTTAAGAAATACAGTAATTTGATTGGTTAATTAAACTATTTTGATGATTTAAAAAATGTTTTCTAAATTGTTTATGTGTATTGGTGATGCTGATAAAATTGGTTTGCACTACCAGTTTTAGTTAGATGTCTGTGTTTCTTGAAATTCCAGTGGTGTTCCACTATTGTAGTATATAGGTATATAGATATTCTTAAAATTTACTCTAGGGATTCGGACTATTCTCTTCAGATAAAAATAAAACAAGTTTTTGTTGTCATAATTCAGTTTTTATTTTATTCAATTTTTTGTTAATTTCTCGTATTCTTTCCAAATCTTCTTCTTTTGTATCTAAAACACGCACCCAGAAATTTCCGATCCATTTTTCTCCAGTGACCACAGGGCAACCCCCATGTAGAGTGCGGTCGTCCATCTCGCCCATCCAGCCTGTCTGTTGGTCTATATAATGATTATACCAGACGATAACCTTGCCTCTCTCAGGTTTTATGTGTAGCGCCGATTCTGAACAATTTCTATATAAATTAATTTTGGGTGATAGTTTAGCTTCCTGTAATAAACAAACTTCTCTTTTAACCAATCTTATAAATATATTAGAATTAGTTAACAAATTCCCACAATTCGTCAAGAAACAGGTTCTATATGCAACGCTTTAACTGGTTAAAAATAACCAGAACGGGAGTACAATAGATAACTTATTAGATCAGAATCGAGACGAAAAAAAGGATAGACAATACCAATCACCATAAAATGAAATGTGTTCTCACCTCGGCAGTTAAAGAATCGTTCCCGGCCAAGACAAAAGCTGTTTCACCACCTTCAGTTACATCATTTAAATAAAACAATATCGTCATATATCTGTAATGTAACAATATCGTCATATATCTGTAATGTAACAATATCGTCATATATCTGTAATGTAACAATATCGTCATATATCTGTAATGTAACAATATCGTCATATATCTGTAATGTAACAATATCGTCATATATCTGTAATGTAAGTAATGTAACAATGTCGTCATATATCTGTAATGTAACAATATCGTCATATATCTGTAATGTAACAATATCGTCATATATCTGTAATGTAACAATATCGTCTTATATCTGTAATGTAATAATATCGTCATATATCTGTAATGTAACAATATCGTCATATATCTGTAATTAAATTATACTGTTATATAGATGAGATGATATCGAACTGGACAGACATTATCATATTTATATCATATCTATCTTAAATGATCCAGGAATATTTCTATCTTTGATAATTGTGCCATTATAGTGTCTTATACAATTATAATTCTGTCCATCTTGAAAATAATTTGATAAGAAAAAAAATTGACTGACCTACAGACACGACACGGTCTGGAATCAAATCGCCTACAACATGGTACCTCCGTACTAAGTCTCGCCGAGTCAAAATGGGCATTATAGTGACCGTGAGGACCATATCTTACTACCTACAATAGAATATGAATATAAATTATGAAAGGGTCGAGTGAAGAACCTAACTACGCAGACTAAGGACTGTACTAGTATTTTGAGTTGTAAGATGATCTGTTTAAAATATAAAGATAAGAAGAAGCGCTCTGTATCGGAAGTAAAAAACAGGAAGATTTTAAACAAGCTTACCTGAAAATTACTAAGCCTGATTACATCTAGAGGAAGGTTTACTACTTCTGATACCCTACAAGTTGAAATTATACTCTTTATAATAAATTGGTACTGAATGGATATGGTATGTGAGAATTTGGCTAGTAGAGCTCATTGTGAGCTGTATTTATTCAGTAATCAAAGTAACATAATCCAACAGGTGGAGCTAAGTTCACTGGAAGAGGTGGTCACTGGTAAACCAAATCGTGATATAAAAACAGTCATGTCTTTGAAGTTTTGTCAGTAAATCTAAATTTACTGATTATTTTTATGTGAATTGAAATATCAAAATAATACTGAGAGTATATATCATAATACTTTTATCAACACAAAGAAATTCTGAAACTACCAGTTCTACTACACGATGGTAAGAACAGTAGCTATTTGTATTACCTATTTTGTATATCTATAAATGTTTTATCTGTAGATTGATCAGGATACATCCACACTTGTTGACTGTACCGTGAATGTTTCTCCGGGTTAACCTCAATAAATTTTTTAATATATCTTTTCATATCTCTCGGTGATAGATTCTTCATCTCATCTTTGGTTATATTTCCTACAATGATAAAATAGAAATATATGATTAATCTTACAATACACTGTAGATATAATATCGACGTAAAAAGTCTACACTGGGTTTTACGAGCTACAATTTGAGTTATTTGCACTACTTTTCAGATTTGTATTCTCATGTTTTAACTGCATCTATATTTCTATGATAAAATATTATCTATCAATACAGATCTACAAGTTTGGTTTCTAGTTTTTCCCTTGTTAGTACTCTGGGTGTTTTAGTTTTCTCAGTACTCAGATCACGATATCTGATTTAGCAGTATCATTCGATTGGAAAGAGAGAAACGAACCGGAAGGGATATTACTGTTAAGAGGATTATTGTTGTGGTATACATACCGTCTCTATTGGTATCTAAATCTGTATCTATATACCTGAAATATAGAAAATATTAAAACAAAACCCCCCAAAAACATGTTATTGTTACTCAGAGATTCACTCTATGCCCTCTTTGGCTCTGCCACTGTATACGACCCTCTTTCATTTTATTTCTTGTCTTATTTTTTCAAAGGTGCTGTTTAAAATCACAAAATACGGAATTTATTTTCAAAGCAACGAATTAGACGAAAATAATAGGAGTTTAGAGTTAATAATTGTATTATAGAATATTTACATTTGTAGAATATCGTCATCATCGGGGTAAACATCGAAACCATTTTCTATCGTCAGTCTCATCTATAGATAAAAAATATAAATATTATCTGTACCATTACAAATCAACTATCAATATAGCAGACAGATTGTTTCCTTACAAATCAACTATCAATATAGCAGACAGATTGTTCCCTTACAAATCAACTATCAATATAGCAGACAGATTGTTCCCTTACAAATCAACTATCAATATAGCAGACAGATTGTTCCCTTACAAATCAACTATCAATATAGCAGACAGATTGTTCCCTTACAAATCAACTATCAATATAGCAGACAGATTGTTCCCTTACAAATCAACTATCAATATAGCAGACAGATTGTTCCCTTACAAATCAACTATCAATATAGCAGACGGATTGTTCCCTTACAAATCAACTATCAATATAGCAGACAGATTGTTCCCTTACAAATCAACTATCAATATAGCAGACAGATTGTTCAGTATTGTGACTGTTTTCAAGAGTTGTCCAACGTGTTTTTGAAAACACGAATCAGAAAGACGTAAGTAAAGAGATGACAAACCTAAAGAAAGAGTGACATCAAGTGTTTGAGAATATGAATACCATCTGCGCAGAATGCCATCAGGTGGACTTACGCATTAATAAAACCTGCTTTGTCAAATGTTTGTCAACTCATCCAATCATCTCTTTATTTCAGAAAATTAAAAAGGTACGTCGTCAATGGTCATGGAATGTTAATGATTCTATAACCACCAAGTTACATGATAAATGAATGCCAAGACTTGCAGGATAACTTACTTCGTGAATGGTTAATACACCATCACCATCTGTATCTAATAATCTCATCTGTTGTTGAGCACCATTAACCCCAGTCGAACTGTTCACCAACCCCTGTTTCTTAGCAACCGATATAAAATGATCACATTCTTCAGACGACAGGAAATTTGGTATTTCTGTAACAAAACAACTCACGGTGATCTGAGAAAGTTCTGATAGCGTAGATTCAGTCTCACAAATAACAGAACAACTTATAGATTTATTGATACATGTCAGTTTGTCTTGGGTGATATAAAATATGAACAGAATTGTCGGTGTTTTTGTGCTCCTCCCAAGTCCCCCTTCCCACCGCCTCATTGCAAGCTGACCACAGGCTATCATGTCGAGCACATTTCTCTGTAGTTTTGGGTCTACATGGTTGATGGCATACCGTTTATCAGATAGTTAAAATGGCAGTTCTCTACAATAGTAGATGTATGCTGTGATGCTTTTAGCTATTTTCCCTTTAAAATCAAGATATGAAAACCATAATTATTACTAGATAGTAAAAAATCTAATGAATAACAAGTCGAGTATTTTACCTAATATTAAAGGATTTAAACTGAGTGTTTTCATCGTTAACCGTTTACCATCAGGGTCGACAACTCTCTCGGCTCCAACCTACAATAGTGTTAATCTAATTACAGGTCTTAATAATCTAAATCATACAATGAGATTTTCAACAACTGAAATTTAGCTGGTGACATCTAGGAATCTGATTGTTCGTTGAAATTAGTCGAAATATATACACCGATCACCACAAAAATAGGAGAAGCGCCAGTCGATTCAATTGCTAAATTATAATTTTCTGCCACAAATTATCATAAATGAATAACCATAACGACTCAAAATGTAGAAAATAAGAAATTCTCACCTCGTGTCCATTGATTCTAGTCAACCGCAACGTTTCACTACCACCACAAACAATTCCATCATCTTCTAGATAACAGAATGTTAAATCATCAGCTAATATCGCTATCAGTTTACATACCAAATAACATAGACACAGTCTGTAGGTTCCTATCTTCATATTACCCGGTAATAAATAGTTTCAAATATCAAATCAGATAACATAGTTCTAGCTTCATATTACCCGGTAATAAATAGTTTCAAATATCAAATCAGATAACATAGTTCTAGCTTCATATTACCCGGTAATAAATAGTTTCAAATATCAAATCAGATAACATAGTTCTAGCTTAATATTACCCGGTAATAAATAGTTTCAAATAGTTCATAAATCAGATAGCATAGTTCTAGCTTCATAATCTATGTTCACGATTTGTCAGATCAGCAATGCTAATCATTCCCAGTTAAACTATGCAACACAACTGTCACTGATAATTTTTTTCATCCTTCTCGAGATTAGAGGAAACAATAAAGACTGATATTGTTTAAACGTGCTTTTTATTATCCATGTTATATCGCTAAACTACCCACTTTCTTATCCAATTCACTTACATTCACTAATTATTACACTATCTTAATCCATCTTTGGGTTAAGAGTTATAGTAAGTAAACAATATGTAATCCAACTACAAAATCTCTGGTCGAGGTTGTAATAATGTATAATGTAAATGCTGTCAAACAAGACTGGTAAAACTGCAGCACAGAAGTATGAAATTCGTTAAACCAAACTCTAGAGTAGGCATTTGTCTGTTTCTAAACCAATAACCGGATAAAACTTCACCAAATCGATACATCAAAATGCAGGATTTAATCCTACTACGCTTTGAAACTGAAGGTTTCTAGGAAAACTGCCAAATTATGCAGACAGTGCAGTGATAATGTTGATCTGTTAATCTATGTTTGGTTAGTTTATAATCCTAGAAAACATAAAACACATACTTGATGAAAATACATGTAACTCAAACAAAGAGTTGAAAGATCAAACTGTTTTCTCATTTTAAACAATGATCAGAAACATTAAAACAGAACCTGAAACATGTTGTTACTCAGAGTTTCAACCAATCAATTATATGATTAGACATAATTATTATAAAATTAAAAACCTACGATAAAAGCAATTGTGTTCAAATTTTGAAAACTGTCAGTAGATAGTTGGTGTTGGATTATCAATTCAGTAGAAAATATAATAAGCGTTACGATTACAGGTCGGACACTACGCTGACACGATTCCGGATTTCTGTAATCCCTGACAAGAATTCTGTCCCGGTCGGAGCGTCGTATCTTAGCACCTTATCGTCTGCTCGTATCTTACCACCTTATCGTCTGTTCATATTTTAGCACCTTATCGTCTGTTCGTATCTTAGCACCTTATCGTCTGTTCGTATCTTAGCACCTTATCGTCTGTTCGTATCTTAGCACCTTATAGTCTGTTCGTATCTTAGCAGCTTATCGTCTGTTCGTATCTTAGCACCTTATCGTCTGTTCGTATCTTAGCACCTTATAGTCTGTTCGTATCTTAGCACCTTATCGTCTGTTCGTATTTTAGCACCTTATCGTCTGTTCGTATCTTAGCACCTTATCGTCTGTTCGTATCTTAGCACCTTATCGTCTGTTCGTATCTTAGCACCTTATCGTCTGTTCGTATTTTAGCACCTTATCGTCTGTTCGTATCTTAGCACCTTATCGTCTGTTCGTATTTTAGCACCTTATAGTCTGTTCGTATCTTAGCACCTTATCGTCTGTTCGTATTTTAGCACCTTATCGTCTGTTCGTATTTTAGCACTTTATAGTCTGTTCGTATTTTAGCACCTTATCGTCTGTTCGTATCTTACTTCGTATATATTCTCTAGGACTCAATATAATATAATTGATTACTGATAATATTGAAATGCGACAAAATATTCAATAACCTTCCTTTTGTTTGGTTTCAAAATATATAACAGACGAGTTTTAATTAACATATAAAGAACTTATTGATTTAAACCCAACGATTGAGTTATTTTTCTATGTTAAAACTACTGCTAAGTTTAAAATATCTTGTAATTAAAGTGATATTAGTATAGGTCGCTGTTTATATTAAATATTAGCATTATTCGTTAAGAATTAACGGTTATTGGTCTTGCTTCAATATATTTTGTGTGCCTGATCTTCGTGTAAACTCGTCTTGTTTATTCCCAACTTGTTTTTTTACAGGTAAAATAACCTCGACAAACTTTAGTGTACCACAGGTAGCGAGATGATTGCTTTTGTAAAATAATTTTGTATTTACGTAAACCGTGTTGACATTTTGAATATTTCATGATGTAGGGAAAATCTATTTGACAGTTCATTCTCGATCTCAACACTTTTCATGAAATCATGTAAGTTTTTTGTGCATGTGTGTGCATGGTAGAAATATTGTGGATGCACGTGAAGTTTGAAGTGAATGATACTCATACATACCTTTTATCTAGTATATGTATATATCCTCCAGACATTATATCCCTTCCAGGAACTTGTCAAAACCTGTCTTTATTGATTGATTCTATTGTTTACAAATCAATTATGAAATCGACTCGATTTAAACACATGATTTGAAGTGTTTTCTTTAACAAAAATAGAATTTTGATAATTCTGTGATTTGAATCAATGAGATTTGAATCAATGTGATTTGAGTCGATGTGACGCAGAAAAATATCCCTTTATACATAAATCACCGAAGCGTTAAAACCCAAATTGGGTCAGTTTTATGTACATGTATCTAAAACACTATAGAGATCCTATATATAAATCATATGATAAATAAAACACTTACATCTTGCTGAATATTATACTTACCACTATAGTAGTCAGAAGTCCGTCTCTTTTTAATAATGTTTAGTTCATCAAATTAAAATCTACCTAACAGGTAAATTCAGTCTTTCTATCAACTCGTCCAATATGATACAATAGAATCCAACAGGTGGACGAATACTAATAGATTTACTGTTCTACTGATAGAGACCTTTAGATCTGCATTAAACACAACCACCAAAATACCGAAACATAAGCGATATCAATTAGCTGGAAACACATTTTAAATTGTCATCTATACATTAAACACAATCATAATTAGCAGCATGTACAGGGCCAATCTTTTGTCTTGGTCGAGTTTTCACCAAATAATAGAGTTCTTTCGACGAATGGATAGGATTTAAAGATGTAAACTATCGTGTATTCTGACTACACAAAAACTGTTCAGAAAACTGAAAATAGTACCAAATTAGTGAAACACGATATTGTGTATGGATATCAACGTTATGTCGTAGGATATAATAAGATATTGGTAGAAGGTTTATGAACTTTCTATACTATGCTTCTATTTTCACCATTTCTATTTAATGTTTGATGTTTGAAGAACCATTCGGGCTCAGTGGTACTTGCGATAATGACGTCATAATCTCATCACTTATAAACAGAATTACAGGAGTTATATAAACACCGGAAATCAAGAATGGTTCAATTGAAAACCTTTTTTGAATCCTTGTTCTTATGTGATGTTAACCATAGCAATGGAATCTGGACAATGATCATATAGAGATATGTCTGAATTACTGTGAGATATCATATTGAATACTCTAGCTTCACAATTTACTAGTATATAAGTATACGTAGATCTTAGAGTGATAACCAAAGCTTCAACGCAATGCCAAACGACTCTACTATAGACTAGTCTTCTAGGAACAGTCCAGCTTACCTCGAGGTCTATTAAGTCTAATATGTTTATTGACCGTCGACCATTTTAATTCTAATATCTTTATAGTTTAATATTGATTGTTATTCTGTTATAAACTCTCTCTATTTATACTGTATTTAATTATAAACGGTTGAAATATTCTGATTTATTGTACCACGTGTGTCGACCTTTAGCTCTCTTACTCCTACTCTTTTACTGGGCGGGGCATGGGTGATCTGTGGTGGTGACAACTGGACGGGGCATAGGTGATCTGTGGTGGTGCCAACTGGGCGGGGCATAGGTGATCTGTGGCGGTGCCAACTGGACGGGGCATAGGTGATCTATGGTGGTGACAACTGGACGGGACATAGGTGATCTGTGGTGGTGACAACTGGACGGGGCATAGGTGATCTGTGGCGGCGCCATACATATTTTTGGGACACAAAACTTTAAAAATTTTTACAAATAATGTTGGGGTACAATTCGCTCACCATTTCACTCGGGGACCAAATGCCCCAAATTTTCATTGTCACACTGAGACCTGTTTTAACATTCTGACCCCTACAAAACCGGGGTCACCTCCAGCAAAAGAAGCAATAATGTTTTGGCCAATGGACCCCTCCCCTTCCCTTGGGTGTTGTTTTTTTGGAATCAGAATAATAATAAACTAGTGATCACGAACATTGTGGTCTGAATAGGTTCTAAATCTACATGGAGTTATTTCCCTTCTCCTTCCTATTAAATCTTCTCAACCACAGACGAATAGAAAAGTTCTAGGTTTTCTCAAGAGGTATTTATACTTAAAACTTGGTAGACATTTTACAAAATTATGACAATTTATAACAGTTAGCAGATTCACAGCTACAGGCGGGCAAGGGTCCCCGAAAAAAGGATGGCCCCGCTGAATAAATTCTGACAACTGACCAATTCTATTACTGCAACTGAACACCATACACCATTGCCCCTCCAGATATATTACTTGCCCCTCCAGATATATTACTTACCCCTCCACATATATTACTTGCCCCTCCAGATATATTACTTACCCCTCCAGATATATTACTTGCCCCTCCAGATATATTACTTGACCCTCCAGATATATTACATTGCCCCTCCGGATATATTACTTGCCCCTCCAGATATATTACTTGCCCCTCCAGATATATTACTTGTCCCTCCAGATATATTACTTGCCCCTCCAGATATATTACATGTCCCTCCAGATATATTACTTGTCCCTCCAGATATATTACTTGTCCCTCCAGATATATATTTTGCCTCTCTGAATAATCAAGTCTGGCGACAGGTTTCAATATGATATTTTAGAATAAAGAAGATTGTGACCTGAAGTTTTCAAGTTAATAAGTAATATAAACAGGATATAATATTAAATATTGATTATAAGGGAATAAGTAAAATGGTGGGATTGCACGTTATAGTTCAATATGTTCTACTCGTGAGGTACTCTACACTAATATTCAGATAATATATTTCAATACTAGACCATAGTTCACAACTAATCCACGGTACTGGAAACAGCATTATTCACAAACAGAGTTGGCTCACTGAGAACACGAATACATCGAGTTCCGTTGGATTTTTAAAACACGGTGAAAAAGTTGGAGCAATTAGTTTTGAGTAAGATGGATATGATTCTGAAAATGTAATTAAAATGTACAGAGTTTAGTCAGTTGATTATTTTAACTAAAACATGAAAATCAAGATGTCCACTTTCAGGTTAAAAGATATCACGACAGATAAATCTATCAATCGTTATATGATGGGATGTATTATCAGATTGTAATCAGTAAACAGGATTACTATTCTATCAGATAGATCGATGGATCCGTTTACATTAATATATCAAAAGTATATATTTCCTTGTCTATCGTCTTGAACACAACATGTGGAGAATGAACAGGGTGAAATGGATCAATATTGGGATAATCTTAGTTGATAGATGGATGAGTGTGTTTCCAATTCTATACCGAAATTATTTTAAATATCCTTTATCCTTGTTCTTGCCTATCTTTCTAGAACAAACACGTATAGTTCAGAACATGAGAACAATGTCGATAATACACCATAGAAAGAGAATTAACTTTAATACAGAACTAGCTGCTGATACTTGGTGAGATTTTCACATTGTACGCCTTTTCGATGTAGATTATTAGCACATTAATTGAGCCAGTTGTTAATGGGTATCGATAATCTGATAATCCGGGAGGGTTTGAAACCAGGAAGTTTGTACCAGCTGGTAGACAGGATCGATGTTAATCTTAGTTGTTATCCTTTTGAAGACATTGTCAAACGGATTGGTCAAGGACCAGCTCATAGAAAGGATCTTCGTGAATGTAACTAGTTATCCTTGTAAAATCAATGCCACGAGTTTTGTTCCACGGACCAGCTGGTAGAAAGGATCCTCCTAAATTGTTATCTTGTAAAGTCTTGGTAAAAGGTGTGACCAAGGACCAGCTTGTAAAATCCTCCTTGAACCCATGTTGTAAAAATGTTTGGTTTTTTTTTTCGCTTCATTGTCTCTGACGAGTAGTTAATACATAACTTGTTGTTGTTGGTTACTTAGATCTAGTAAAATATCCTCGTCTGAGAGAGCAGCAGTGTCGCTGGCTGGTGAAGATGGACTAAAATCTTGATCTAAATCCATTAAGTTGTTGGACTGGTCGCGGGGCGCCGGAGTGTCACCGGACTGCGACAGACTAGTGGGTCTAGGTACAGCGTTTGGGTCCATGTTTTGACTCTGTCTACTTTTTCTAGGATCGGGTTTTTGATCTCCCTGCTCATCTCCTTTATCCCACATATACAGATTTCGTTTCACTTCGAAAATAAAAGAACCGTGTCCCTCTGATCGCCCCAACACTAAAATGATGCAGTCTTTAGCCGTGTAAGCTACAAAAGTCATCCCTTTTGATTTGTTGTTGCCTAGTAACGTGTTGTCGTTGCCTTGGAAACAGGTAAATGCTATATCGTCGATGTGAATTAAGGCGATAGATCGCGAGGGATCATATAACGATCGTAACAGGGCCTCGCCCTCCATTTTGGAAACTGTGATGTCGTCTGTTACTGCGACTGGGACGCCCTCTAGATTAAAGATGGCCACCTTCTCGACTTTATTAGTCGCCTCCAACAAACGGTTGATGAAACCTGGCCACGACATCTTAGATTTATATTTAGCTATCTGAAAGTAGAGAATGTTAAATATTACTCAGAGATTTAATAAGAGATAAAAACAATGTAATGGTTCAAGAATGGCGTCAATTTGGACAATTATTAAAATGTATTGTATCTTCATAAAATGTGCCAAAATATTTTTGTTTTTTGTCAAACATTGGTCAATGTAACAAGTCGTGATTATTTTGGAGCTTCTATGGGGCTTCATTCGGTTCTTCTGGGTAGAAAAAGATTATTGTGTATGTGGAATCTGATTATTGATTTGATTGATTGACTGTGGAATAGATTATTGATTTGATTGATTGACCGTGGAATAGATTATTGATTTGATTGATTGACTGTGGAATAGATTATTGATTTGATTGAGTGACTATGGAATAGATTATTGATTTGATTGAGTGACTGTGGGATAGATTATTGATTTGATTGATTGACTGTGGAATAGATTATTGATTTGATTGATTGACTGTGGAATAGATTATTGATTTGATTGATTGACTGTGGAATAGATTATTGATTTGATTGATTGACTGTGGAATAGATTATTGATTTGATTGATTGACTGTGGAATAGATTATTGATTTGATTGATTGACTATGGAATAGATTATTGATTTGATTGATTGACTCTATGATCTTCCTGTGATGTTAATTAAGATGTCCAGATATTAATAATGATATCAGTGGTAATTAATATCACTAGCATTATTATTATAGTCTCTTTATATATTACTAGTCATATCCTGATAGCTGTCATGATCAATAATAGAATAGTCCTTACTTTAATCAGCTAGTTTTACCGAGTAGAACTTATAGGAATGACTGAATTATTAAAATCCAAGTTCTTTCTACCCTTGTCACTCTACATCCACTGATAAACCACATAAACTAATAGGCTAATTAAAGGTAATGGAGCTTTAGGTCGACCTGATAGGTATTTTTGTACGCTAAGAAAATTTGGAAAATAAAATTCTCATTAAAGAGATTGTAAACAAGTGCCTTATGTGATAAACCGTATTTTACCATTAGTGGCGTCATCAAACACTGAATTTTAGTTGAATTGCAGGAACCACAGACGTCTGATTGATGTAAATCGATACAATCAGCGTCCCCGATACACATAAAATTATAGAAAACCTCTTTACAATTACTTTAACAGTGAAATGAACAGTAAAATGAACAGTGAAATGAACAGTGAAATGAACAGTAAAATGAACAGTGAAATGAACACTGAAATGAACACTGAAATGAACAGTAAAATGAACAGTGAAAGTGAAATGAACAGTGAAATGAACAGTGAAATGAACAGTAAAATGAACAGTGAAATGAACAGTGAAATGAACAGTGAAATGAACAGTGTAATGAACAGTGTAATGAACAGTGTAATGGGAATTATAGAACACCATCACATCAAAAACATTTTATTAATATAACTATATGATCAATCTGATAATTTATCTACAGTTAAACCAGTTTTATTATCAAACAGACTGTTACCATCTCAACCTCTATCTTATAGACCGCCCTGAACAATAGATTAACCTTAATAAAACATCCAGATGTTACAGAGACAACCAAATCAAATATTATCATCACTCTAGTCCATCCTGTTCAGTAATTTGCCTCGAGTTAAATATTGGAACATAAGCCAACAAGTTTTCCTGATGAGGATTCTATATCTTAAACGTGTATCGGAAGTATGAGAGATACCAAGGGTCCCCTGAAAGAATTCAACGTCCTAATTGTCTTCAACAAGAGAAAAATAAAATATGTGACACTCAGAAAGCTCAAGAGAAGTGAAGATGAATTAATGAAAAATGAAATATTCCTCTTTGTATTTTCCACATCAATTCTGATATTAGTCTTGGAAATAACACGTTCAATTTAACCAGGGCTGTAGGTCAACAATAAGACATGCCACACGAGAGAATTGATGAAAAATTTTCCAGTAAAACATACAGATCATATTTGTTGATTAGCTAATAAGATCAGGGTCTTATAATCAACAGTAATCTTACTACTTGGTAAGGTTTAATTCCAAAAAGTATTTAGAAAATTTGAAAAAAATTGAGTGAAATATCCTACCATATGGACAGTTTGTACGAAATCCGTGACGCACATGTTGTCGGAGGGGAACCGTCACACACACTGATAAACAATAAACAATAGAATGCACGTGTGAAATACACGCGGTGTCGGTGTCGATCTGTAGAATTATTGATTATTATCATGAAGAATTAGATCGATATTCTCTGACCCCGATTATAACAGGGGTCAACCCTCTTTCAAGTCAGTTTTATATTCTACATAATTTATATCACAATCACCATTCTCTAGTCTGACTCTTCACCGATTTTAACAACCTATTATTCTAATTTAGATAAAACTCTGAAATCAGGTCACAATGTGACTTATTCCACTATCTGTTGTAAAGATAAGGAAGGGGGTGGTGTTCCTTGATAGGGGTTCGAAACAGGGGCCTTATTCTTAAAACTAAACTAAGAAATGATATTGATATTTTAAGGAATCCAATCTGATTGGATAATAGAAATATAAATAAAATATATTTAGTGATTACCTCATCAGATAACTAGAAAAACTAAAATCAACTGCAATTTAGTTTTTTTGCGAATAAGGGCCTAGAGCAAAATTTTGGCTGGAAGCATGGATTGGTTATACAAGTAGTATATTGAGTTTATATATTTTTTAAATAATTTTGACTCCCACCAGTGATATTAAATGTTTATTTAATGTGATATAACGGAGTTGAGATTTAAACTCGGTCTAAGAGAAACCACAGCAATCACGTGACTCTAATTAGTGATAAGAATTTATTTTATCTTGAATCAATTAATTAACTTTTAAATATGCTAATGAACTTGAGTTTTACACCCTACTGTTCTGTATCTTATTGGGTTAATATTGGATTAATGAAATAGCACCAGGGCCAGTGGGATCGGTCATGCCGCCTCTCCCCCAGCCCTTCCTTATTGATGAAAAATGAAAGATTTGTTCTACTTTCACTTCCTAAATCGTGTTAAATGTATTCTCCGGATTCCCACATCTGACAATTTTTCAAGGGAGATAACAATAATACATGTATCATGGTCGTTTTATAAAATACGATAAATAAAATCAGTAGATTATCAAATATAAATATGACCTTTTGACCTGTGGTGTGTCAATGGTCGCTATGATTTGAACTGAAACAGTCGAAGTCCATACAGAATTAGTCACTGTGATAATATTTACTTTAATCAGATATTAAAGAGACGGTGTTCTCTAATGTAATATTACTAATCGTTATAAGAGATCTACATTAGTCCAGAAAAAACTATAGGGATAATCTTGTTTACAGCCGAACAGTGTCTACAGTTAAACCTGTTTACAGACCTGTTTACAGACCTGTTTACACTAATTTACTAATATATTTTGAAATATCTTATATCATGGCATTGCATTGGCTTTTGGAAATAATATAATAATATGCAATTTAAAAGAAACAATGGTTCCTCCCAAAAATCGCCTTAAAGATGGGTTCCCTCATTTTCATTTATGAAAATGAAAATGCTAATACTTATATGAATAGAAAGTAGAGGTGTTCTAATGACTTGGAAAAATACCAGTTTGTCTCACATGTCCATAATTAATTCATAATTAGCTAAATTAGAAGAGAATTACCAGCAGAATTCCAATTCCAATCAAAAAAGGTCAAAAAATCTTTTTTTTCGATTATCCAGACTGCACATACATGGACATTTATGATTGGTTTAAACTGAAATTATATGCAATATAAGAAAATAATGATTTGATAAAGAATACATGCTAATTCATTAGAAACACCAATTAATCAAATAGCTTGCTTAATTTGACACTAAAAAATAAGGAAACCCATTTTTAACAACAAAACTCAAATATCGTTGAACACTGGGAGAAAGTATTTAGTCACTATTTCTGTTTTTATAAAGTATTTAGTAGGCTTACTTCTTATTTAAATTGTTGATTGTCCCTTCTGAACTCATCTTTCACCTCCTTTCAAATGTTTCACTGACATGAATCTCTTTAATTTCACACTAATCTTTATAAACCTATTGGTAAACAAACCTTTTATAACTTCTGATATAACAGTAGATCAACAGGTTAAATCACTGATAGACACCGTTATCCTACACCGCCCTCGTTATCCTACACCGCCCTCGTTATCCTACACCACCCAACGACATTGAAACGTTTTTCAAATTCTATCAGACATGAAATATAAACTTTAATAGTCCTCTCAATTATGCCCAGTTAACCTCGGCCATCAAACGCATTCTTAAATTAATGTTTTTCTCACAACTGCAGAGTTAAGGTGACATTTTCATTCTTGGCACTAGTCCACTAATAGTTAGTAAACAACTTGTGTTTTGGTACGGTAAAACACTCCTGTGGGTTGTCTTCTGTTAGACGAATAGGCCGGATTTCACGACCTGTGCCTTCAAGAGTCAACTTTGTGTCTATATTCATACCTTTACACTTAATTAGATGCCGAATTTTCCTCAAGGTACGGAGCAATCTTACGCCACGACCTGGTCTGGACATATAAACCTTCCATCTTCTAGCCCACGAGCTATCAATTCCAATTCCTTTCACCCACTAGCCCAAGATTAATCAATTCCTTTGAAGGTTGGAATAGACAAGGTATCCGGTGTGAGATTATTAATACATTAGTAAATAAACTAAGCGAAGTCCGGACACGGTGCGAACCGTGTTCCTTAAGCAATATTATATGATAATGATCATGTAGCTAGATGTGAATTATCGGACCAATGCTTAAGGAACATGGTTGCGAACACGATTCGCTTTTACTATTTTTGACACCGCCCTTCGTCTATTCCCATCTTAGCAGGAAACTGATCCCTGGACCGATCATATAGGTCGAGCTCATCCATACAAACAAATCTCAAAATATACAACTGTCAATAGAAGTATTAGAAACCTGACTATGAAATCTGAATGTGTTCGCCCATTTTTATAAATAGTGGATATATTAATCATATATTATTATATTATTGACAATAAAAATAATATAACTTAAATTTATCATCATTTAGGTCACTTGTCATCGAGCTAGATTTCATGATAGATCTCACTCTGTCTTTTTATTTCACATCTTCACAATGTCAAGGTATTACGATCTTTAAACTTTCGTGATAGCTTGACATTGTGAAGATGTAGTTTGTAATAACTTGACATTGTGAAGATGTAGTTTGTAATAGCTTGACATTGTGTAGATGAAGTTTGTAATAGCTTGACATTGTGAAGATGAAGTTGTAATAGTTTGACATTGTGAAGATGAAGTTTGTAATAGCTTGACATTGTGAAGGTGAAGTTTGTAATAGCTTGACATTGTGAAGATGAAGTTTGTAATAGCTTGACATTGTGAAGATTTTGTTTGTAATAGCTTGGCATTGTGAAGATGTATATTTCCTAGTACAGTACACGTGGTAATCTCTTCCAGATTTTAACTTGGTCCTTTATACGAGTATATCCTGGTCCTATATACGAGTATATCCTGGTCCTATTTACGAGTATATCCTGGTCCTATAGTGTAGGCTACATTTATATCTAGGGCAGGGCACAAGGGGTCATTCCCTAGGGTTTTCTTAATGAAATCTTTAGTTTTAAAACATTGTAAATAAAGCCTGAAAACTGTCTGAGAATTCAAATTTGATAAATACTGTATATATTTGACTTTCTTGACCTTAAATTTTATATATATATATATATTGTAACTTGTAATGAACAGGTGAAAGAGTGCTTTAAAAATGTGAATTAAACATTGCCTTATATTCATAATATAATAACTATAGTTGTTTTCCCTGACCTTACAGTTTCAATTTATATTCAAGGTAATTACACTGTATTTTATGATATATAATGTGTGTATGTTTTTGATTGTACATGTATATATATATCATATATGATATCTGTTAAAACTATTTTCTAACTCTTAACCCCTTCTACTCATTAACATAGACGTAGAGCCCCAAAAAACATCCTTAAGCAGGGATAAGTAATACATTTTGCTTACCTGCGAAATGAAATGTACCTATATCCAACACATCTCAACTCTAACAAAGGGAGGTACTGTAGCTTATTGTTATTAAGGCTTTTAACCAAATAGACCGAATACCTTGTTCTCTCAAGCAAGACGGTAGGTTGGTATATAATATAGATAGATAGAGAAATATAATAGACCAGACGAACGGGTTAAATATTAAAGTTTAGGATATAGAACGAAGCCTTCCCACTCAATTCTATTCTTAGACATATAGGCCTGTTTAATTATACAAACCTACTAGCTAGTTGGACTATATGGTTTATAATGTTATTGGTTAAACGGGTTGTAAGCCAACTCTCGAAGGTACTGACCGTGACATCAGAATTTTTCTCTCCTTATTGGTACTGGAATAGATATATATTGATGATAGGGAGAGAAATATGACACTGTTCCTACTCTGGAAGCACGGGCCGTGGCTTCAAAAATGTTCTTATCTTGAGCAGGATTAAAATCCATTGCATGTAAACAGCACACGGCAATCCAACTCGACTGAGCAAATGTACTATTTGTATTGATAGTGTCTCAATACGATAACAAAACTCAGTACAAAATATCGTCGGACAGTAAAACTACAAAATATATAAAATAATCATTTATAAAACAACCAAATCTACAAATTATATCAATATTCAGAAAATAATAATATATGTAATTACTCAAACGCATTTAGACGTTTTCTTTCAATAATTACTTTTTTTTTTTTTGATTAATTGGATTATTGAGGGATTCTGTCTGTTACCAGGTATGAGTAAGGTTTGAGATGTAAAATTTTTATGTGCATTCTAAGAGGTAGTATCTTTTTAAGTCATGTTATGTTTTTATAAATTGGTCTGAATATGATTCAGATATATGTTAAGCTATGTACAAAAAATACAGAAATATATAAGTGCAAAAGATTTGCAGTAGTCTATTCGTCATTGCCAAAACCATAAACATTATTTCCCAACTTTTGTATAGGTTTCGAGTCTCCGGCTCCAATGGTAAATATGGTGTGGATATTTTTATTCGATCCGGATGGTTTTTGACGTTCTTGTTTCTGCTCAGGTTTTGATTTTTTCTTGTCTCTGGAACTAAATTGTGA